GACATGCCGATTTTGGGACGCTGGGATGATAGCAATGTTGAGCATCCTTCACGATGGCGGTGTTCCTCTTCGTCTCCAAGTGAGCTACTTTTCTAAGTTAACTGTACCAGTCATTGTTGCCAAACCAATCATTTATGAAGACCCTGGGTTCCATTTTCAGTAAAGCCAACCCCATTAAGGTCAAGGGGCCAAAGCTGCTCCTCCTATGACAGTGGAAGTAGTGACTATGATGATGATGATGATGATGATGATGATGATGATGATGATGGGTCATCTACATGCTCTTTTACATCCACATCACACCAAGATGAACCGGAAGAACCCCAACAATTGGACCTTTCTTTGTGGCGGCTTCAGTCCCTTCATGCATCTGGGAAAGGTGACCCTGAGAAAATGAGTAAGTATTCCCAATGTGGTATGTCCCTTGTTCGGATCAAGGCTGCCTTGGAGGACCCAGCCTGTGAGTGCAAGTGTTCTCTTCCGGTCAAGATCTTGGCCACCATATGCAAATCCTTCTGGAGCCTCCGAAAGGAGGTGCAGGATGCGTTGCTTTGGAGCTTACAAATGGAGTCGGGTAGATCATCCAAGAGAACATGGTCCATTGGAGGTTTTTTCATGGGACCAAAATTCAAGTTTTCTCTGAACGATTGCTTCAAAATATGTTGCATATATAATATGTTATATAAAAGGTTTACTTATTATGTATGTTTAAATTTATGATGTATAACTAAACCATATCATATTAAATAATATATATCATATTCCAATAATGGGCTATTCCACTTCCCCTGAAGGCCATCAGGTTTGCCGACAAGCTTGGTTCCATCTAATGGGTGTTGGAAAGATGAGAATGGCAAGGTGCAAGAGAACTTTTCATGGACAAGACAAGAGAATGATTGGTGGTCATGGGGGAACCTTGGTTTATATGTGGAAGGGATCCAATGTTCTTATTTGGCTCAGTGAGCTACCTAAACCCATAGTATACCCAATGTACTTACTTGCTAACGATCTAAACAATATCACTTATTCTTCCCAGGACCTCACAGCCATCCAGCCGAGAAGACCGCCCTCTGCAAAGCCTTCTTCATTCACATCTACTGGTCGGCAGGAGAGACTATGACCACTTCGTGCCTCAGCAGCAGGTGAGCCATGCCATGGGTTAGTGAATGAGTCAATATGAGTCATCTACATCTTAATGCAGCCTGATGCCATTGTAAGGGATGCGCCCAAGTCTATGCTAGAAGCAAACGATGATGACATGAGGGAGGACCTCTTCCAGCGTCTCATAGATGCAAAACTCATGGGTCCGACAATGCAACTGTCAAACACTGATCCTGGGAATCTTCCAACACGGGAACTACCACATGGCAATGTTGCAGAGCTATACATGGTTTTTGTTGCGTTTTGTGGCAACAAAACACCAGCAAGTAGGGCCTGTTTCTACAAAGAGGCAAAAAGATGGAAACAGTGTCTGCGTTTTCGGAGACCTCTGGCACATTCTTTGTGTAAGACATGCTCACAATTGCAGGCTGCTTTGTCCAATGCCACTGAACCAGGGTTGCATTGAAACAATTTGTGATTTTTTTTGACAGGGTATTGTCAACAAATGGTTTCTGTGCCATTTATCTTACCTGTGACAACCTGACTGGCCAATCATCAATCAGGATTTTTTGCAGCATGCCAAGATAGCAGACAGGCTGCTTGGCCACTACTGTCAGCAATGGAAAAATCGGGAATCCTACTGGCTTGCCCGAAGTCGGGCACAACAAGTTGGTGATCTCTGTTGTATGATGATTGACTCGTACGACAAAGCCAAGTGCATGCTACCGAAATTTCCCAGGGGACGAACGCCCAAGCAAGTGATCTATGAATCAGTAAAGCGTATCTGATCCAATTTCAGTTTGTTATTTTTAACCTGTATCTTAGTCCTGGTTGTGCTTCTCCTCTGGAACGGTCGTGTCAAGGTACTTCCCTGACTTTGACTTGCAGCCTGATTCATGGATTTGGCGTGTACATCTACTTGGCTGATGAAGGACTTCCTTGTGGGGCCAACTGGACAATCGAAGTAGTGACTTGTTTGGTGCTTTCTTAGAGTGGTTTGGAACTTGTGGTTTAGATCCGGAATCCATTGGTGTCAACACAGACTCAGCTAGCTTAGGCAATGAGATCGCTCAACCGTGCATTCGAAAAAGCTCGCAGGGACCACAAGACGTTTCCCTATGAGTGTTGTTCTCGGTCTCACACTCTTGCAGTATTACCTTCTCCTTCTTTTCGGGGGCATGTTACATGGGGCTTGTAAACTGTGATAAGGTTGTGGCTCCAGGGGGACAATGCACCGAAGGAATGCCGCAATGTGTCAATGGCAAAATGGGCAATTGCCCTCGTCCAAGGGGGGTATTTCAAGCAAGTGTCAGAGTGCTTTTTGGAAGTGGGGCACACGCACGAAGATGTAGGCAGGGTTAGCTTGGTTTATACTAAGCAGAAACTAGCATCACTACAAAGTTCTGTGGTGGTTTATGCATCAAAAAACAGTTTAATTCCTGTGGGTGACCCATACTGACCCTGCAGATGCAGTGCTGTCGGTGGTGCGTTCAGCTTTAGCTTCCTGCCCTGATCTGCAAACCCCACGCGATATACAAAGGACCATGTTTCAAAAAATATAAGTGTTTCAAAATTTAAACTTATAAACCTTTTGTCCTGATGCTTATGTAGCACTGGCCCCAAGGACTGTGGAGCTCAAACTTGGCAACTCCTTTGAGAGACATGGGATGGAGGTGATTGTGGAAAAGGTCGACACCGCACCTTGTCTCTTTACCCTGTGGATTTAATTTCTTGGCCCAAGTAACCCTAAATGGAAGTACCCTAAGAACCAAATGCTAAGGCCAGGGACTGGAACAAGCTGTTGCCCAACTCGATGACCTTGAAGAATGCGTTTGTCAACCGGAAACCCAAGAATGACAACCCTGAAGATGTGACGAAGGTTCCCCAATCATTTACATATGTTGCTCGATCAGGCAGGTTTGAATCTAAAGCTTTTGAAGTTGGAAAGTATGAGTAATTACATATCCGTCACCAATGCCATGTTCTTTACCCTTCCTAAATCATGCTACCCTGCCAGACATTCCTGGACATGTGCAAACTGAAGAACGGCTTCCAATTCGTTTGCGGCAAGCTGGGCGGTCCCGGGATGTCTTTGCTTTGGTTAAAAGCCAAATGTCAGACCTACACCTGTCCCAGCCACCCCTACTTGTGCTCCCGGAGTCTTTGATCCATGAGACAGAAAACTTTTTCAATGCTGCCAATTCAACCAGTCATGTGATCCAGCAAAGTTTGGAACCAGAAAGGTGTGAAGAGTTGCAACGGTTGTCTGCTGCATTTCAGCAGGACTACAACCATTTGAATCGTGCTGTCAACTATTACAAAGATTTGGTAAATCCAAATCGATTTCGGTTTCCATATACCAAATTGGAGTTTGTGGCTGCAGGACCTTCCGCCCATTTGAGGTTAGGGGAGATCCAGCTTGGGGCCAGACCCCCTCCACCAAAGCCACGGCATTTGCAGGTTGTCTTTCACCGAGCCTAGATGCACGCAGGGGTGACATGCATCAAGGAAACAATGGTGCTCAGCCAGCCAATACTCAATCCTCTTGCACTTGAATGGTGTCAACATGGTAGCATATTTCCAGTTGTTACGTCTGTCAACTGCCCAATTGTCATGTTAACTTCTTGGCAACCTCATTTGCTCAAAAACAAGGGTGTAGTACTTGCTAGGGCTGGCATTGGCTGCCATGGCTGAGCCTGATGGGACTCCCATGTTGGACAAAATTTGTGCCCACTTTGATGGAGTCATATCCTCAGAAAATCATCTTCAATTGATATTATATGTGAATCCAAGTCAAACACATGGCGTATAAGATTAACACTGACATTCCTTTACAGCCCATGCATTCTCAGGTGATCGAGAAAGGCAATTTCGGGGAATATGTCAACACAGTGTTCTCAACTCCTCAAAAGCTTGACCAGGCCATGTCCCAAAATATGAATAGCAGTTTTCCGGTTAGTTTTCCTACATATTGGTGGGTTCCTTTATAAGATATGAACCAGATCAAACCCTAAATAGACTATGTCTTATGTGTCAAGGATTCATGTCCCTTGTTTGAATTCCATCCCACACACAGGCCCTGAAATTCTATGTCCTGGACCGCTTTGATCCTGAAGGACGTGGGAAGCCAACACTTGCCTTGGTGCCGCAGTCACACTTGAAGGAGTTCTGGCTCCCACTCAGTGCTTTCGACATCTCAAAGGATGCAAAGAACGGATGCCAGGGATTGGGGAAAGTTTGGGTACGTTTGAATTTTAAAAAAGGGTCTGATTTTAGGAAACAGTAACCAGGTAACCCTCCAAAACCTAATGACAAGTATTGCCATGTTCATGGAAAACTGAATGAAACCCTGCAGTATTTCCGTCCAATGTTGGCTTTGAGCTGCACTTCAAGGAGTTTTTGCATTCAGGGTATTTGAGTTCAAGAGAGAGCATTGAAACAAAATTTCCCTTCACAGACAGTACCAGGGCCATCAAGCCGCACACTGTTGGATGTGTTGATGGGTTCACCAAGATCTTATGCATGATTGGTGTGATTGCCTGCTGCGCTGAACTCGTTTCCTAGTTGGAAAACCATGCAACTTTTGGGCTATTGTTCAGGGACCCTGAAATACCTTGAACATTCTACTTTTCTTTGATAATTTACCTTGGGGAGAAAGAAATTTGAGATGCTTCCGCCTACACTTAGGATGTGAGCGAGGAACAATGTGAAGATGCTGGGTTGAACCGCTGCTTGGAAAGCTTCCGGTGGGTGAGATGTGCATACACCCATTTCAGCACCCCATCACATCACTTTTTACATAGCTTGAGAAACTTTGATGCACTAAGACCATATTTGTTTTGCCAATTTTTCCCCATCCAACATCATCTAACCATGCCTTTACCATCACCTTGCTTGGTATGCCCAACCAAGAACTGGGGCACACCACTGCAGAGAAACAGAAGCCATCTCCACTGCAGTTCCTGGCAGACTTTCGAAATGCGATTAATATTGAGAAGAGGCTGGCAAAGGCAGGATCGAAAACCAATCTCAAAGACCTTCTGGCGAAGGTGGTCGCAGAGTACAACCGTTTGTGCACTGTAAAGCATCACCGTGTGGACACACACCGGAGACAGTTGATCTACAACATGTTCCAAGGCTATTTCTAGACAGAACATTGTTTTGGCAATAGGTTTCCCAATCTTTTCCCCAATTTGTATAAAATAATTTAAGTTATGATAGCAGCCCATAGCAATTGAGGAGGGTTAACAAGTCTAGCTGCCACGACCCAGGTTGCGAGCACCAGCTGCTTTCTGCTCGGTGGTGGCCCAACATTATGATCTTCATGCCCATGCTTCTTCAGGAGATTGGTAACAGGGGTTCTGCTGTTGGCTCAAACTGTTCCAATTAGAACCTTTCAGAAGAAACTAGGTGGTTGGAAAAGTATCACTGTATCACCCATTCATTCATCCCTGAAGGCTTGACGGTGGATGTGCTCCAGAGTGATTTTTGGGTGCCACAATCCACAACAAGGGCTGACAGTCCTCAATTCAGAGGCAAGGATGTCTTCCGGGAGATCCTGACGCCGACAGATGAAACTGCCACATTGTATGCCATGAGGGCAACAGAGGCAAGGGTTTCAGTCTAACATTAATCATTTTTTGGGATACACCACACAATACAAAGCGTTTGAACCCAATAATAATAGTATAATATGATAAAACTATCATAACTACTTTCTGGCAAACTATCATAAACAGATAGGGGTTGGACGAATTGTTCACTAAAGCATGGTGATTCATTCCCAGGGTCTATGTTAATTTACTGGAGGGAATATACTAGTATCTTCCAATCAAAATCATGTATCATGAAGATGCCAGTTCATGCTGATTATGCTGCCCCATTGCCTTCCCTGTCCTACAGGATTTCAATCGCAAAGTGAGCAAGACATCGACCAACAAACAGAAGGAGACCAGTCAGGGTTTTGTTTGAAAGGGTTAAATGGGATTAAGTGGTCCAACACTAACTGTTTCAGAATTTTGTCAAATTTTGTTTCCAATATGGCTTGCTGTTGCTCCCTGGCAGAAAACAGCCCAGCTGGATGAAGCTTCCCACATCACTTTGCATGATGCAGTCTGTTTGTGGACCTGGTTGCGTCCGAAACTGGCAGCTGAGTTTCCAGGCCATGTCTGTCAGAGACATGATGATCTTTTCCTGAAAGGGTGCCTTGGGTCAAGGGTTGGCTGGCGCCAAATGCAACTCTTGAAAATCATGGGGTTTTCAAAAACCCCGTGATTTTTTGAAGATCACACTTGGCTGGTGCCAATTACCCAAAAACCCTGAAAAACCAATCACATTTCAGATGGGAAAACTAAGATCAGATTATCAAGGGGTTTCTGGAAACCACGTCGCAAAAGTAATGAAAACGGAGGAACCAATCAAACCGTTGATCTTTTTCAAGTTGGGTCAATGTGATTGGTTCGCCCCAGACCCAGCCAATCATCAAGGGGGTTCCAGAAACCCCGTCATATTTTGAAGTTGGATTTCAGGTGGTAAATGTGATTGATTTTCCAAGTTTTTATGGAATATTCAAACAAAAACTAGTTTTGGGTATTTTTGATGTATTGTGATTCCATCTGGAAAATTCTAACCCCTCTGGATCATGAATATAGTTCATTTAGATTTTTTGGGTGTATGATCATACCAGATAGGTTCTATAGAATTCTTATTGGGGTCACTGATTTACCACAATTCAAACAACCCTTTGTGGTTCTGGGGCCATTGCCTTGCTCTAAGGACATTGGATTCCGACCTGAATGCAGTCATGAAAGCTGCCGACTCTGACTTCGACTGGAAACGGATTAGCTTTGTGCTGGAGGCTGGATCTAACAACTTTAATTTATGTGCCAGTGATATCATTAAATTGGTTGTAGGGCCCAGGTGCAGTTTGCATACTGTAGCAGGGTGGCTGATGAATGGAATGTCATTCTTGGAACAAGACTTTGGCTGGAAGGGCTCCTCAAAAACATCTTGGGTTCACACACATGCACACCTATATACCGCTTTAATCCACAAAAAGGCCCACAAACCAAAATAAAATGACAACCTGCTTGATGTTGAGGATCCACTGTGTGAGTTTGAATTTGTTTTTTTTTGCTAGTTTTCCACTGCACAAAGAGCCAGAAACACCACACTTTTCCTTTGTGGGGGGTTGTATTTGGTGTGAATCTGTGCCACTTTTACCCCTGAAGATTCGTGGAGAGACTGTAGAAACCTTCATCGCCGAAGCTCAAGACAAGAGTAGAAATGCTTTGATGAAGTCATTGGAAGCTGGTTTCAATGCGTTTTGTGAGCAGCTGTCAAATGACGAAATGCAGTTTGAGCAAGCTCAATTGTTGAACCCTGTCTAAATTAAATTGTTTTTGTTGAAACTTTTGTTGGGCCCACAGAACTGCAGATTTCTGGGTTCCTGGCATATTTAGGTAAACCGTGACTTGGAAAGTTGCACTTACCATCTTCACAGCCTGTGCGCCAGCACCCAGGAGTGAGAAGTCAATGGCAAAGAAGCGGGCAAAACTTGTCAAGCAGCTGGAGGACAGGGTTGTTGAACAGCTCAGATGTAAGAAAAAGGTGAAACCTTAAAAGTGTTTTTTTTTCATGGGTTGCTTGGACACCAAGGAAACAAAAAAGATAAGGAAGTCCCTTTATGTCACCGTTAAAATATGATGAGCTTGTGGGGTGATTGTATTGTATGTATATAAAGGGCTGTAACTGAGCTATAGGGGGGTTGAAATAAAAGGGTACATGCCTGGGTTCGTAATTTTCCGGCTAATTTGCCATTCCCCAAAAAGCTAAAAAAACGCAAAAAGGAACCCCCCCCGGGGGGGGGTTCCTTTTTGCAATTTTTCCTTTGCCAGCCTGGGTTTATCCATGGCCATGTTTATCCAGTTTACCCCTGAATGAGGAATGCCACAACAAGGCTTGGGATATTGTCAACAATTTCATGGTGAACAATGTCCAAATGTTTTGTGGCACGGCTCTCAATGGTATCTCTACTATAATGCCAGAAGTTTCCTCCTGGGTGACTAGCACACTGAACGATGTGGCAGAAGTTCGGGACAGCAGTGACCACTTGGTGGTCCTCTGGGCCAACTTGCCCACTTGTGGCATCATTTCAGCTGCTAAGCTGGATTTTGTGATCTCATTCCTCACAAACCAGCTGGAGAAGCACAAACGGAATGGGGCGGCATTGATCATCCACCCAAATCGAGCTGCGCAAGCCCATGCTGCCAAGACCAGGGTTCTTCCTGATTGTTTGGTTTCAATTTAGCCACTAAGGGGTTTATCTAAGTGATGATGACTCTACTAGTTTGGGTAGGGGGTTAGATCTATGTAGCCAGCAGGAAGGAAAAGAAGGAAGACTTTGATGATGTCAAAGACGAGGAGATGAAGGATGAAAGTAGCAAGGAAGATTCCGGAAGTGATCCGGAAGCTAGCAGCAAAGCTTTCAAAGATGATGGTGATGTCCGGGATGTGAGGTACAACTTGGAGAGACTTCACAAAACGTAAATAAGTCTTTCAAGTTTTTAAACTGCAACATGCCACCCCAAGCTCACCACCATGTTTTGTGCTTATGTCTTAACCATTTTTCCCAAGGAAAGAACTGGGGGCTGCCAGCAAGAACTTGATGCTGCGACCATTGACTTGGGTGTTCAAACCGGTCCCTCTGCAGCAATCTGGTCTCCTCCATGTGGGAAAATTGAACTTGTTGTTAATTAGATTGATTCAATTTCAAATACCATAATATGTAATATGATAGTAATAATATGTTAATAAAGTCAAGTACAGCAACCATTCCTTTTTGGATACTTTGGGTTTCATACAGGTTTTGGTGTTCTCCACCTTCACCATGGCCCTTCTGCCCTGCCTCATGCCTGAGGAATCTGTGTATGGAAAACGTGATGGAGCCTTGCAGGGTCTGGCACTGATATACAAGGACAAGGGGAATGCGGTGAGGTTCACTCCTGGTTGGAAAACTGGGGTCATCAGGGAAGTCGAGATGCTGGCCCGTTCTGACATGTTCAAACCAGATGTGCCTTGTTCAGCATATCATTTAGAAACTTGGAAGTATGCTTCCCCATCGGTGTTGACATTCATTTTATTTCCGTACCATGACATGCCTAAACCCCCCTGATACCCTTTGGTGTTTCATGCCTTCATGCCTCAAGTGATGAAACTATCATCTCAACATCCAGGCTTCCATGGGAGGGCGCCCTCATTTGGGACGAGCCTTTACCGACATCCAGGAGATGAAGCAGGCAACCTGTTAGCAAGGCACAAGTGTTTTGGGTGTTGGTGGTGTTGGGATGTTGGGGACATGGATCAAACAATTTCATTATCGTGTATGATGATAAAAGTGCTTGGGGATATTTGGGGTGATTTTGAACAATGTCAATCACAATGAGGTGAGTGGTGGATGCAATATTGTCCGTGAAAGCATCAAAGCATTTCGGCCAACCACAGTGGAAACCACCATGCTGATCGATGTGTTGGCATATGATGGGTTTCCAGCCATGGCTACTCTGCAGGACACTGGGTACTAAACTCTTCTAACATCCATATCAAGTATTCTGGTTTGGGCACCGGCCAAGTAGATATGAGATATGATTTTATGTTTAACGGTTTCTATTTCTATCATGTTCTATCATGCTTTGCCATTAGTATATTCTTTGGTTTTATCTATAGGAGTAAGATAATATATTATATTACTCAGAATCCAAATCATATTTAACACAACTTGGCCACCTGACCCCTGCCAGGAGATTGCAGATGGGAACCGAATGATGTGTGGCAGTATGATGGTTGATGGCCAGTCAGACTCACTGGTCACCCGTGTTGCCAATGAAGTTTACAACTCTTGTCGGAACCACACCCTGGATTTGCCCAACTTCCCACAGTTCGATCCCATTCTTGATGCATTGAAACAAGGGTCTGATGATGTTCAACAGAAGCCTTTTCAAGTTTGCCGTCACGTTGGGGGTTCTTTAGTTGTCCTCCAAGCCTATGCACAGAAGTGGTTGGACTTGGAACAGACCCAGTGCCGGGCCCATGACATTGTGTCCAAGCACAATGAGAAGTACAACCCCGATGGTGTGTTTGTTGCAACCGAAAGGACTTTGTGTGGGAAAAAATATGGGGCCCCCAATGGCCCCCAAGAGCCATAGTGCTGACACCCACATGTTTTTCTCTTAGTCTTGAAAAAACCCTGGTGTTCTTTACCCCTGTTCAGTTCTTTCCTGCCTTTGGCATGTGCAGCGAGGACAGAAGAAGATGATGGCAACGAGCGTCCTGCCAAACGCATCAAGGTGGAGACTGGTGATACTGTGTCAGAGGCGGATGTGGGAAACTTGAAGAATCCGTATCTCAACTGAACTGCCAACCACCCAAAAGAAACCTAGTTGGGGTATGGGCCAAAGTTGGGGTACTACAATGGGGGTCCTCTTACTAAGAAGATGATCACGTAGTATAATAGTGCTATTTCAATTGGCCATCCGTTGTTTTTGAGGTTGGATCATTTTTGAGCCAGGTTATACCCTTATTTTAAGTCCAAACTGTGAGATATTTCAATATTTAGGTGTGTTATCATCCTTGCTGATGCTTGAGGCAAGTCATCAACATCAACAACTGCGCATCGCTGATCACTGACGGAGAGAAGATTTTCTTGAGCTCCAAGGGCCGCAATGAATTTTTCCAACACCGAGAGTTGTTTCTTGGTTGTCAACCAGTGCTTGGTGTGAGCAATGCTGGTTTTGCCCTGTAAGTAAGCACATGCCCCACTAGTCACTTGACCTGCTTCTTAGCCAAATTCTTACCTTGTGAGCCAGGGGTTGTGCCACTTCAGGTTTAGCTTTGGATCTGGTGAGTGGAGGGACGGAGCTGATCCTTGTCTGGAAGGGTGCTGAACATGGTAGGTGGTTGATCACACAATAGTAGCCGTAGCCATGAAAATAGATAGACCCAACTGACTATCCAAACGATATGGAGAAACATCAGCCCAAAAAGAGGGCAAAACAACAACATTCAGATATAAGTGGATGTATGTAACCACACCATTGCCACCACCACCATCATCACCACTGCCACCACCAGCAACAACAACAACCATCATGAAAATTGAACTACCACAACAACACCGTATTTTCTCTATTTTCTCCAATCATATAATCATGCTACCAGCAGTGACTGCATTGTCCCCTTCCCATGGGACTATGGGTTTCTTTACTGCTGTACTTACTTTGAGTAGGTTCCATCTGATCTGAAACCCTGTGTTTGGTCCCAAACACACCTAGGCTTTGTTGACTTAAGACTAGGGTTAGTCAAAACAAACTTAGATCAATGTGACTTGAACCAAGTCTCATGTTTCATGTGACACCACCGGCATGCTGCTAAGGAAGCCTCGGAATGTATGCAGGACAGTGCAGGGCGGTGGTTTCCGTTCCGGGTCAAACTTGACACAGTTTTTGTGCTTGAGAAAAAGAACCTACCAGAGCATGTGGGAAAACTAGATGTTGTTGAGCAGCCCACCACCTTTGCTCATCTACTCCGTGCTTTGGAAGATGCTGGAGAGGTGTTGGCCTTTGTGTTGGCAAAACCAGTCCATTGTTGGTGTAAAATAATAAATAGGGGTTAACCGTTCTTGTTGCTAGGTCCAACTGCTACTAGTTTTTTCACAAATTCCCTGAAGGTGAACCTGGGCTTGAGTCACCACAAGCTGTCGCCAGGGGCACCTGTCTCTGTGGAATCTGAGAAACCCATCATTTTCTTGATGGACGACCCCAAAGATGACCCTGAAGTGGAAGAAGAGAAACCCAAGAAAAAGAAAAAAAATAAGAGAAACTCCAAGGGTGCCAAGAGCAAGGATATCACCTTCAAAAACTTCGGGGCAGGTGTATCTGTCAGCACGCTCAAACAGGGTTCAAAGTTGGAGATTGCCTGGCGTGCCAGGTGCATTGGTAATTCTCAAACCATTTCTTGTTTTGTCGGCATAATTCCCAATACTAATGTTCAAATTTTGACTTTGGGATACTTGTGACCAAGTAGATAGAATACATGTCAGCTCTGACTTCCCTGCAGGCTTGAGTCTAAAGCCTCTGGTGAGAAGACCCTGTGCCCCATCAGGCCGGTGGCAGTCCTGGCTGGAGCCCTTGCAATTGGAGAGCAAACTGTCCGACTCCTGTAGGATCTGGGTTGGCAATGGCATGGCATGCCCCATACTTGAATATGGAACTAGTGATATTTGCATATTATATACATTTTTCAGGAATCCAATGTCCATTTTAATCCATATAATATATATATATTATAAATTTATATATTCAAACAAAAAAGCTATATCAAAGCTGTTCTCTTCTGTTTGAGGGGGTCATAGCTAGCCTTGCCAGCGACTTGATGCCGAGGGTGCCCCAGCGTTGGAGGCTTGTGGTAAAAGATTGAAGATTATATTGCTTCAAAACCATTGCGCTTTGGAGCATTTGTGGCAACCAGAGCCATAGGCCTATTTTGGAACCGCTGATGGCAACACCTTGAAAGCTCACACCATTGAGATCAAACAACTGAGAAAAAAGGATGGTTTCAAGCCTCCACTGTGTCAACAACTCATTGCCACAAAGTTAGCTTGACAACTTGAGTCAGGTATCTACCATCTACATCACTGAAAGATTTTTTCTTGCAGCCCATCTTGGATCAGGTGTTTGCTGGTTAAGGGTCATGCCACCCCGACTCTCCAAGGGCACCAGTGGGATAAGTGATGACGACAGTGTTGAGTTTCTTGTGCCGGAGGTCCGTGTGACTACCCCAGTCCCCTGGTCAAACACATGATGGTTCTTTTGTCATACATGCAAATGACATTTATTATGAATCATGTCATGGTAGTATACTTGAATATGTTCCCTTTAGATGGTTGCATCCACTATCAGATGAGGTCTAATACAACTCAAGATGATCCTTTGGTATGATTGCCCATGATCACTAGCTCCAATCCATTTCCACCTACATTGCCATTTGAGGCTTTTGACCTTCACTCTTTGATGTCATCACGTCCTACCTCAACAGCCCGGACTGGAGCATCCAGCACTACATCCCGAGCTACAGCATCCCGGGCTACACCGTCCTTGGCTGCACAGTCCTCGGCTGCAAGGCCTGGTCCAGATGTGAGAAGTGCTTTGGCTCAAGTGGGGCCAGTGGGAACATGTTCAATCATGATGGCGTTTCAGAATATTCATAGACCACTTCCACATAATCACATACTTGATCCTGGAATTCATTTGAGGTTCAGGGGCTGCAAGTTCTTCCAGGGACCACCACCTACCACCGAGACCAACGTCTTCAGAAGAGTCATCCCCTGCAGATAAGGAGAAAAATCAGACGGGTCAGAAACAGCCAAAGAAACCCAGAAAGGAGACCAAGCAGAGCAAAAAAAAGACCAAGAAACAATTTGAAGAAGAAGAGGAAGACGATGAAGATGTAGATGCAGACCACCAGCATGTACTAGATGAAGAAGATGATGATGACGGTGACTTAGATGGCCTAGGAGACCTGTTAGGTGATGGTAAGGTGTTGAAGCGACCTGCATGCAAGCGGCCTGCATCAGCAAAAGGCAGGTCCAGGAAATCAACGCAGAAGAAGCCAGCATCGGAAAACCAGGCTGGGACCCGGGAATTGTTTTTTTCTGCGTCTACTCCTTGTATCATTATATATGTCATTATTTGTGCAACAATTTGTAAACTGGATCCTGTTACCTGTTGTTTTACTGCATCTACTCCTTGTATCATTATACATGTCATTATTTATGCAACAATTTATAAAATGGATCCTGCCCTGAATGTTGACTGAAACACCTGTGAGGAGGCCTGTGGATTGCCCTTTGCACATTTGATTGAGGAACCAGCAGAGGAGCTTGATACTCAGCCTCTGAATCATTTCCTGAAATCCTTTCCCACCACCTCTGCCCCAAAGCAGCCTCTGAAGGTTGAATGCCGAGATGAAGCGCATTGCAGATCTCTACGAGACCTGGTCACCAGCAGGGCATGTGCTCACGTTTCTTGGAAAAAACAAATCCTATAATAGAATATTATTCACTGTCTTGATCCCTTCAAAGAAAGACCAAAAACATTGGAGAACCAGGTTAGATTCATTTACAACCATATTTTACATGCAGTTGTGTTCGCCCATTCATGTTTAAATAACTTTCTCACAGCCAAGACAGCCAAGGCCGTCAAAGTGTGATGATGCAACTCCACCATATGTGCCTTTGAGACGTGTGCCTTTCCCAACTCCTGATAACCAACTTGGGTTGGAATCATCCCCTGAGATGGAGGCTGACTTCCCAACTGAAAATCCAGTGGCTGGACTTCTATCATTTTTGTGGATAAGTCTCATTGCAAATATCCATCTCACTTTCTGTCATTGTTTGAGGCCAGTCCCTAAACATCGTTCACTGCCATCTCAACCCTCTCTCAGGACTTGCGTCGTTTGGGAGCCCGGCTGAATTTTGATGCGGTGGAAGCTGAGGACATTGCATGCCTAAGATGTTTGCAACTCCATTAGTCTGTGCTATACAATTTTGGACACTTTCACTGGGTGCCGATGAATGATTCTCTGGGGTGAAAATATGCAAATCAGAGAGTTAATAAATCTATGTCTAACCCATTTGCATTTTTTCACACTGCTAATTATTAATAAAATAGAATTACATGTCCCACCATTATTATTTAGTTAGCTCCCTACTGGCCCTTCCTTCTGCATGATCCTGTTTGGCAAGGATACTTCTCCTCCGGCCCCTACGGAGTTGGATGAAACCTTGGATACCCAGATCTACATCTTGACACCGCCTGACCTCTATGACATGGAGGAGGGGGTGGACAATGTCTCAGACATTGCCCAGGAGGAGCTTCTGGAATCTGATGAGTTTTTTTCAAAAGAGGTGATGGACGGAGTAGGAACTCCCCAATTTGAACCTGTTGATGCCGTGATGGCTGAGACTCCTGTGGGAACTTCGCCGCATGAACCCGTTGATGCTGAGACTGCGGTGGGAACTCCACCCAATGAACCCAATGCTGATACTGCTGTGGGAACTCCGCCGCATGAACCAGATGCTGAGACTGCGGTGGGAACTCCACCACGTGAAGCTGCTGTTGATGCTGAGATGGATGAGGATGATATGGGAACTCCCCTGCATGTGAAAAGTGGTGATGCTGACATGGATCCCCAACCCCCTGTGGAAAGCCCTGATGGCCCTGACGTTTCCACTCCCAAGTCCCCTGATGGCAAACAGCCTACACCATGTGTGCAAAAGAACAAGGCCCGACCAAAGGCTACTGCTACTGCACCCAAAGCCAAGAGCAAGGCCACGAGCAAGGCCAAGAGCAAGCCCAAGAGCAAGCCCAAGAAACGTAAAGCAAAGAGCTTGGTTGAGAGCACCCCAGGCACCCGTGAAGATGGGGAGCCACATGACAATAGCAATGGCAAACCAAGCACACAAAAGCAAACCCGCCGGGAAAAGGATGAGATTGAAAAGAAGCTGCGCTCGGTTTCTTGTTTGTATTTTTTTTGCAACCTAGAGCTAGGTCAAAACCAGTTGTTGACTCATCGCCAACCATGTAGATATGGGTTTTGAAAAGAAACTTTACTCGGTTTCTTGTTTGTATTTTTTTGGCAACCTACAGCTTGGTCAAAAACAGTTCAGTTGTTGACTCGTTGCCAGCCATGTAGATTTGGGTTTCAATTTGCAGTGCTCAGGTATACTCCTGTGCTTGGTCTGCTGCAAAAACATTAGGGTTTTTGCCTGCAGTGTGCAAGCAGAAAGCTCTTGATGCCAGAGTTGAGTTTCTTGTCCGCACTAGTACAGTATCTGTCTTTAAATGCAATGACTTTCCACATGCTCCTTGAGCCAATGGTTTAGGAATACCTTTTACCAACCATTGTACTTAGGTGGGCAAAGAAGGAAGGGCCAAAGGAGCACCATGCTATCAGAAAGCTTTTGACCGCCTAAAAAGGCAAGTTTGAACAGTGATTTGTGCCACTGCAGCTGCTGCTGCCTCAAATTCAGCCGAGTTGCGTTTGATCACAACGCATGGCATTGGGGAAAAACCAGTCAGTGGCTGCGGCAGTTGCATGGACCCCAGGGAGGTGAGTCTGGGATCATGAATAAGAACATGTAGCAATTCTCTCTATCTCTCTCTCTCTCTCTCCCCCTCTGTGGTCTCAGGGACTATTATCATAATATCATCATTCTCATAATGATATTATATTATCATGATATATCATCATAATATATAGTTCTTCATGCTCCATCTTCAACTCAAAGAGCAAGGACCCAGTTCCACTTTGGAAAGGATCTGGTTGCAGATAGACTTCCATATACATTTAGGATCATTTAGGTAATCCCTCACTTGTGTGCAAATAAACCCACGTGTCAATGGCTCAGTTCAGCCATGCATCGCGACCTCCCAGCTAATTTCAGATCGGAAAAGAAAAATGATAAGACGACGAGAACTTGATGACGCGTGCGCAAATCTTCAACCAAATGTGGACCGAAGAGTCTTGCCCAGATGATTTCGCATACGCAGAAGTTGTTTCAATTTACAAAAAAGGTAACCCGGAACTACCCGAGAATTATCGCCCCATATTGTTAAATTCATCATACAAAATTCTGACACAAATCCTACAAACACGAATTGCCGACGCAACTGATCAGCTTATTAGCGATATGCAATTTGGATTCAGAATGGGAAAAAATGCCTCAGAACCGCTGTTCTGCGTGAGGCGCCTACAGGATATAGCAGAAGCTGGCCACCAAAACATAATTTTGATATTCTTAGATTGGGAGAAAACCTTTGACAAAATTAGTCACATGAGATTAGTGGAATCACTGGAAAAACTGAATATTGACAGTAAAATGATTAGCAACATCAAGGCTCTATACGAACATCCTTTCCTCAAAACAGTCCACAACGATAAAGAAAGCGAATGGAAGAAACATGAAGAAACAGCATTCTGGAATTAGTCAAGGATGCCCCCTGTCCCCCTACTTGTTTATTTTAATGATGAACGTTTTGTTTTTTTGTTGGATGTGAGGCGCAAGAACAATGATCCTCATTTTCGAAAGACGGTCAATAACATGAAATTTCAAGAACTCCTGTACGCTGATGACACGCTAGTAGTTGCAAAAAATACAAAAACGGCGAAAGAATACTTGAGATTATTGAGGAAAAGTCAGTATTATAACATTAAACTAAACAGAGACAAATGCGTGTGCATCACGTTCAATAGAAACAATGCAATCACTTTTGCTGATGGGCACCCGTTAAAAAGTGAAGAAGGAACCATCTATCTAGGAACTCAAATCAACAAAAGGGTGGATCCCAAAACTGAAATAAATCGGCGTATTTCACAAACAATGCCTATAATTACTAAAGAAACTGGACCTGTTCTGGAAACAAGCCCAAGTGTCAAACAAATGGAAAATTCAAGTGTTCAAAACTCCTGTACAGCTTGGAAGCACTGCAGCCCACAGAGGCCACGGCAGCTAAACTTGACACGTTTCAGTTGAAAGGTCTCAGGAACAAGTTGAAAATGTCGACAAAGTATATTGATCGAACAAACACCAACCAAGAAGTAAGTATGTAGACGTGCAAATTTGGAAATGGGTGAAGGCGCAGATGATGGAATCATCCGTCCATTAAGTGACATTTTAAGAGACAAACGAAGAAAACTATATAGGCCATATCATCAGAAGACCTAGAGACCACCCGCAACACCAAGCAACGTTTGCAACAAGAACGCTCCTGCCACAACAAGTTGAACACAGATGGGTGGGACGCCCAAGAGCAGCGTGAACATATGAAACCATGAAAGATTGCTGGCTCAGAAATAATGAGCACATACCGTTTGAAATACAGAACCGGGAACACCGAGAACAGATAAAAACATGGGCTTTCAATCGTGAAGAACATTTCTGAGAGTTGTTTTCACCCGAGAGCATAGATGCTGTAGTGGTGCCAACGGCTCTCACCTGGACCTACGGCTAGGGGGAAAAAAAAAATCGTGATTTTCACGCAAACCAAACACCTACTTGATCCTACTTGGGGGGCGCGGTCTCACTTAGTAAGTGGGTTCATGAACATAATCATAGTGGTTATAGTTATGGTATGTTTTCTTGTATCTTATAGTATGTTATAGTACGTAGTATGTAGTATGTTATAGTTATATCCTAACTTACCGGGTTTTAACCATGGTTACACCCATTCATAAATTTCTTTTTGCCCTTCACTTCAACAGCGCTTCCGAGGCGAGCCGGAAGTACTTCGGGAGTCTGATGGAGACCATGCTGAGTTTGCGTCCTGGCGACAGGTAATTCATTACCCCTCGGATACCTTGGAACAGTCCCATAGCAGACCCATTGTGGTGGTGAAACACAGAAGATTTGCGGTCCCTGGCGGTCCCCCGTATGTTGCTCCAGTGACTTTAAGTGTCCATGTTTATGGGAACAGCCAACAAATCTGGCAAATATCTGAGAAGAAACTATAAAAGATAAAACACGTTGCTGGCTGGTGGTTTCCAAGATTTTCCACGAGTGTTGATTTCTTCAATCCTATTTGGCATGATCATCCCAACTGACGAGCATATGAGAAAAAGAAGCATGTGGGTTCAACATGGTTCAACAATTTTCAAGGGTGAATTTCTCTAGAACGCCCATCCATTGAACGGCATATGTGTTGCTTAAATCATGATGTGTTCAACGGTAGAATCCGGCTTGTTGCTGAAATCCTTCCTTCGTTAATCCCAATTGTTGATCCCAATTAAGGGTCTCCCCAAGAATCCTCATTGCCTCATTGGCTAGTCAAACAAACCCCCACTGTTTGATAATTTGATATAATTTGATATATATATATATATATGAACTTCCCTTCAACTAAAAAACGATTCGTTTTTGGGTTAATGCAATGACTACCCCCTTGGTGATTCAACAGTTTACCATGGGCAATTGCCTAACTGCAGATGAGATAAACCGATGATTTGCATGGCCATGTCCCTTGGCAAACTGTTACCAGAAACTCACCAAATCCCAATGGCAGGTTGAATTCCATAGATGTTTCCCATTCATATCCAGCTAGTGTTCTGTCCCATTGTCCCATCAAAATAATCATCGGTAGTATGCCATTAATTTTCCCATTCTTCCTATTTGGAATCCCGTTAAAACAGAGAGAAAAACAGAACGAGACGTCGTTTTTTTCGATGAGCGAGACGTCACTGAGGTTCATGACGATCTCGGACGGAGTGAGTTGGGAAAAGATTATCTCGGTTCTCTCGTCCATCTCCTTGGTTTGGACGGCCTTCTTCATCTTCTACGCGCCACGGCCCAGACGATATGTCAACCATAGGAATATGTAGCCCTTTCAGGTAACGCAACATAGCGAAAATCACCAGTCTTAGTATAAGTCGGCCATGTTCAATAGCTATACTACATTGAATTACTGGATTCTGATGGAGATACCCTCTGGTAATTTAACATAGCTATCAAAAGATGCTTCTTAGTTCCTTGATTTACCTCTTAAACATTGTTTTCATTTGTTTTCCATAGCTATGTTAGTATGCCTTCCCCCTGATATTACACACCAAAAACGTTAAATACGGGATTTACGCATATTTGGGACCATAGATTTGGGGTCTAAATCTTAGGTCGATGGGATGGAGAATGGGGGAGAACCGCAGCTGCGGTTCCCAGAGTTGGATGAAAAAAACAACAAGTTTGAAGTTTGAAGGAGAAGAATGAAGACCATATGGTGTCCGGTTAGTTTCCATCAAACCAATCCGTTGATATAAAAAACTGGCGGGCTTTGTCGGGAAAATCTATGGTTAAAACCATGGTTTTTACAAGTATTATACTAGTTTCCAGTGATATTTTCGTTCAGCCAATTCTTGGATTGATGAAACAACTTGGTGTGAAGCGGCCGGATGAATAGTTTCCGCTGAACTACTGCAATTTTTTGCTTAAGAATGGGGATTTGTACTGAATAGCTACCAAAAAGCATCGAGTAGGGAGTTATATAACCCAACTTAGTTTTTTGTTTGAAGGACATGGTGTCTAGGGTTGGCAATGAAGAGAGGTTACCTCCCATGATCTCCCATGCAACCATCAATGGGGAAATGAGGTTTTGAACTGTAAGATGATGAGCCCTGGTTGATGAAGACGTAGCAGTACTTTCAGGGAAACATCTATAAACTAATGATTGCCGCAACTTAGTACGTAGGATTAATGATTGAGGTGTTGACCATATTATACATGTTGCTTTAGTGAAGAGATATTCAGTTCAATATTTCTTGCAATTGTGTGATATGGGTGCATACTCCCCCTTTTAGGATCTTTTGGGGATTCTTACGTGCCACTACAATGGTACCAGTACCCAATCAAACAGGCTGTAGATCACAGGTTGCAACGAACTCACCGGGATGTTACTGGAATGAACGGTTCATCATCGGGAATCATCCCCGACCCAAGTCGCTCCTGCTGAAACGCAGGTCGCGTTCGCGTACTTTGCTGTGTGGCCTTGGCTGAAGGATTGGCTGATGGTCCGTCAATCCACAAACAATGGGTCGATTCCAGAAGAAAAGATAGGGATTTTTCAGAAAGAATAGTGGGGTTTTATGGAATATTTTCATATGTTTTCATTGAATATAATGGTAACATGTTGGTATACCCTAGTATACCCTCTGCCAATGACAATCAGAGTTTGCTGCGGAAAATCAATGTTGCTGTTTTGAGAGCGAATTGCTAAACCATCCGCTTACAGTCATCATGGCTTGCTGGGAAGATTGGGAAGCCCCCAAACCATCCATGGAAGTCTTTTTCATGGGAACATCATCAAGAAACAGGCCATTTTCCACTGCTATTCTTTGCTATGGCGTATGTTAAATTGCCGGGAACCGTGTTTCTACCAAATTCCTAAGTGCAACAGCCTAGCCACCATCTTGTTGCGTTATATATAGGCTGTGCCCGCAAAATGGTGTATTTCTCAATATGAAGCATCAACTTTACGGTGAAGAAGACTAGAATAGCAAGCAGGGGCTGAGCCATGGCCATAGTAAGCTGCCACCCTGGCCATCTCATCAAAGGAGTCCAGGACTACAATCGTCGTAAATTTTAAGTGGTACTTGCCATTACTTGCCCATCACTTACCCAAAAAGCCATCTAACCAAAATACGGAGGTCTATATTCCTTAGAGCAGGTCAGACACTGAGCAGCTGACCGGGCACCTTTTTGCACTGAAGGGCATAGGCACTCGTTCAATGGGTTCTTTAGCTGTCAGAGAACGCATGCAACATCCAACTCTAGTAGCAGCATGTAGCAGCCATGCCAAGACCACACGGTCAAACCCAGATTTCCAAATATGACAAAAGAATTTGGGGTCAAGGTCAAGAATTACACATGGCAAGCTTGGGTGACAAAACTACCAGAGACAAGAGGACAGCACATGTTCCCCATGTCATTGCCTTTGAATTAGGAAGGGAAAGATTTGCGTCTGGCCTCCTCGCGGGCCAAGCAGGCTGCCTTTCCTGCCCTTAAGCATTTGAAGGAAAAGGCTTGAAAATCCGGCTTGAAAGAGTTTCAGCATGTTGCGAAATTGAGTCAAAGCTGCAGCACTTGTTAACTAGAAAAGCTTATGGCCATCGGGCATGTTGGCACACCGCGGCGCCAATCGGTGCCCAATGCACAAACGATTGCGTTGCTTGGTGGTGCACAAACATGGCCAACTAGCAAGGAGCCTTGAGGCCTATGTTTACGCTGGCGCAATCTCGAATACAAAGTGCCGTCACTAGCTACAAACACTGCAGAATGCCTGTTACGTGGCAAGCAATGTACAGAATCAGTCAGGTCTTGCCGACCCCTGATTGTGCTGGCAATTTCAATCTTGGAACACTATTGCTCAGAGTCTCTCACTAGTGGGCACGACTCTTTCCCCTAGTCCCACCCTCCTCCAGTTTGATGTGGACTCCACATCAAACTGGAGGAGGGTGCCTGCTGCGTCCCGCCTGGTGGTATTGTGCAGCTTTTACTTGAATTCAACGCCGTTTCAAGTCCAAGTGGAAGAACCCTGACCGCTGCTGGTCTGAGCCCAGATGCCATTGCATTCAATTTGACAGGCCAATTCACACCCAATTTTATCGCGCTTGGAGTCCCTATGACTATTGTGACTGCAAATGTGGACGCATTTGCAGGGGCTCGAGCCGCTGGGCTGTGGACCCTAAACACGTCCACAGATGGTGCTACGGCGGTCATCAACAGCACCTTCCGGAATCAGCAGCTTCGGCTAGCGGTGGAGCCTTGCCCCTACGGACAGCCAAGGACAAACGTCTCTTGCCCTGACAGCTGGAGCCTTCCTAGCTGAAGGATAGCCTTAGGACAAACACCTGAGCTCTCGCGGCTGGGAAAAACAGGATTGTGTGTTTTCTGTTTTCAGTGATTCTTTGCTTTTGAAGAGGAGTTTGGATAAAGAAGAGCCGTTGGAAAGCAACAGCTGCAATTCCATCACCGTGGCCATCAGAATTCATGAGATAGGATATATGAATGTGTATATATATATATATCTTTATACAATATTTATATATGGAATATAAATTGAATATAATGGTAACATTTTGGTATACCCTCTGCCAATACCCTCTGCCAATGACAATCAGGGTTTGCTGCGGAAAATCACTGGTTGCTGTTTTGAGAGCGAATTGCTAAACCATTCAATTACAGTAATCATGGCTTGCTGGGAAGCCCCCAAACCATCCATGGAAGTCTTTTTCATGGGAACATCAAGAAACGGGCCATTTTCCACTGCTATTCTTTGCCATGGTATGTTAAATTGCTATATACATGTATATACCAAATTCCTAAGTGCAACAGCCTAGCCACCATCTTGTTGCGTTATATATAGGCTGTGCCCGCAAAATGGTGTATTTCTCAATATGAAGCATCAACTTTACGGTGAAGAAGACTAGAATAGCAAGCAGGGGCTGAGCCATGGCCATAGTAAGCTGCCACCCTGGCCATCTCGTCAAAGGAGTCCAGGATCACAATCGTCGTAAATTTTAAGTGGTACTTGCCATTACTTGCCCATCACTTACCCAAAAAGCCATCTAACCAAAATGCGGAGGTCTATATTCCTTAGAGCAGGTCAGACACTGAGCAGCCCACCGGGCACCTTTTTGCACTGAAGGGCATAGGCACTCGTTCAATGGGTTCTTTAGCTGTCAGAGAACACATGCAACATCCAACTCTAGTAGCAGCATGTAGCAGCCATGCCAAGACCACACGGTCACACCCAGATTTCCAAATATGACAAAAGAATTTGGGGTCAAGGTCAAGAATTACATATGGCAAGCTTGGGTGACAAAACTACCAGAGACAAGAGGACAGCACATGTTCCACATGTCATTGCCTTTGAATTAGGAAGGGAAAGATTTGCGTCTGGCCTCCTCGCGGGCCAAGCAGGCTGCCTTTCCTGCCCTTAAGCATTTGAAGGAAAAGGCTTGAAAATCCGGCTTGAAAGAGTTTCAGCATGTTGCGAAATTGAGTCAAAGCTGCAGCACTTGTAAACTAGAAAAGCTTATGGCCATCGGGCATGTTGGCACACCGCGGCGCCAATCGGTGCCCAATGCACAAACGATTGCATTGCTTGGTGGTGCACAAACATGGCCAACTAGCAAGGAGCCTTGAGGCCTATGTTTACGCTGGCGCAATCTCGAATACAAAGTGCCGTCACTAGCTACAAACACCGCAGAATGCCTGTTACGTGGCAAGCAATGTACAGAATCAGTCAGGTCTTGCCGACCCCTGATTGTGCTGGCAATTTCAATCTTGGAACACTATTGCTCAGAGTCTCTCACTAGTGGGCACGACTCTTTCCCCTAGCCCCACCCTCCTCCAGTTTGATGTGGAGGCGAGCAGTCACTGCTCGCCTCCACATCAAACTGGAGGAGGGTGGGGCTAGGGGAAAAGAGTCGTGCCCACCAGTGACTGCTCGCCTCCACATCAAACTGGAGGAGGGTGCCTGCTGCGTCCCGCCTGGTGGTATTGTGCAGCTTTTACTTGAATTCAACGCTGTTTCAAGTCCAAGTGGAAGAACCCTGACCGCTGCTGGTCTGAGCCCAGATGCCATTGCATTCAATTTGACAGGCCAATTCACACCCAATTTTATCGCGCTTGGAGTCCCTATGACTATTGTGACTGCAAATGTGGACGCATTTGCAGGGGCTCGAGCCGCTGGGCTGTGGACCCTAAACACGTCCACAGATGGTGCTACGGCGGTCATCAACAGCACCTTCCGGAATCAGCAGCTTCGGCTAGCGGTGGAGCCTTGCCCCTACGGACAGCCAAGGACAAACGTCTCTTGCCCTGACAGCTGGAGCCTTCCTAGCTGAAGGATAGCCTTAGGACAAACACCTGAGCTCTCGCGGCTGGGAAAAACAGGATTGTGTGTTTTCTGTTTTCAGTGATTCTTTGCTTTTGAAGAGGAGTTTGGATAAAGAAGAGCCGTTGGAAAGCAACAGCTGCAATTCCATCACCGTGGCCATTAGAATTCATGAGATAGGATATATGAATGTGTATATATTAATTATATATAAATATATATCTTTATACAATATTTATACATATTTGATTTACAGTATATATATAAATGTATCAGAAACATCATAGGAATTGAGACACACCCCCTGGGGAACGTGCAGAACGCCCACTCCGTTACCATGTTCTACCCATAACCCAAACACCGATCTTTTTGTACCTGCATCTGACTCATTTTGGAACATCTCAGGTTGAATGTCTTGACGGGCGTTTTCTGTCTAGGCCTCAGGGATGTGTCTGAAAATCGCATCATATGTGGTGGGTTGACTGGGGAAGGTGGCTGCCCTATTTTAGGAACTGCAACTGGTGATTTTAATGGGGAACTTGGCTAAATCCTTTATTTAAAGACAAACCAAATCAACATGTGATCGTGAAGTCAACGCTTAACACCAATGAACCAACGCTCTCTTGATTGTCTGAAACCGAATGAAACCAGCAACCAGTTGATAATGCGTTTTTGCCAGCAGTGAGCAAGACAACAGCTGGGGCGCATGCAAGCACACAACCCCAAGAAAATATCGTCAAAGCTGCTGCTATCTACTGGTATGATGTTTTTGATCGATTCCGCATTGGCCTTTCTCAACCAAAGATAGCTAAACTGTTTTTAAGGGAACATTTACAGGATCCCCCAGATTTTGAGGGTACCTTTGAACCAAATCATTGACCAACCAATTCTCCCAATTCGTTGATGTTGAAACTACTATTTTTATCTATTTTTCATGATTTGTATTTATATACATACATTTTTATATATATATATTATACCACCATTATTGAGATTTCTGTTGCAAAATCCTAATCAGCTGTATCTTTCACAGAGAGTTGGATCAAGGGAAAACCTCGATTTTCCCAACAAAACCGATCTTTTGTATCGTTCATGGCTGAACTCCATCACGGACGAGGTCAAAGCGCTATCGAAAGTGCGCAGAACGACCATGCGACAGCAGTTCAATCCATGATTGCAAACAAGGAGGCGGTTCGTCCACTCCTGAGATGGATGATTATGCGACACTGTGATAAACCCACAGTGACCATCATAGAGTTTGATGAAATTGGGTATACCACGGTATACCCATATGTATACCCATATGTACCCTTATGACTGGGATGATGTTTATGACTGGGATGATGTAAAATGACCTCCACATGGTTGTTGAAGGGGATGGTTTATGGCATTGGGTTTACCACATTATTCTGGATTGTTAAGGGCTGAATATATTGGATTATTGGCATGTTAAACGGTATTACCATGTATGATCAATGTATGTTTGATCCAGGATTGGATTTTGTAAAAGAATATTTGGAATCGATGGGTTTCATATTCCAATATTGTAGTGTAGGCGAATGGGATTACGTATGACGAGTACATTAACGTATAATATATATATATATACATACACAATATACAAAAATGTATAATATATATATATATATGATACGTACATTTGATTCATTTGATAACCCAATGCCTTGGTCATATTTCATACCCCTAAACAAAACCCGGGGTGAAATGTATTTGGATCCATTCATATTATATCATCTTATTCTGGAAGGTAGGATAAATTGAAAGACTATATTTGGTTGCATTTCAGTTGCAATGGGTTAATCAACTACTTATCTTGATGACCTTGCAGCGTCATCCAAGTAGCTTGGTGGTTTCCGACGCCCAAGCTACGCAGAGAAAGAGATTGGATAAAAAAAACGCAACCATTCCTTTAACGAAAATGGACAATTAAGATAATGAAGACTTTATCCTTTTCTTTGTTCCTCACCTGTCAGGTGAGGATCTGTAGATTTTTTGTCAGGTATTTCAACAGATTTCAACATAGCCATAGAAAATGACCCATTTGTTGATGATTTGCCTATTCAACATGATTATTTTCCATGCGTTAAATTGCTCTCTCTCCTCCTCCTTTGTTCTCCTGGACGCCAGACCCGAACGGAGGTCAGACAGAATTCCAGTAATTGTACAAAAGGCCAGGATATCAGAAATGTCAGAATGCCAGAAAATCGAATGTCAGCAGATTATACCATATATATACCATATATATGCCATATATATATTATACATATATTCATTATATAATATGTTAAGTCTCGGAAGTTATGGAGAGAGAGAGAGATGTCAGAAAAAAATACGTCAGATGGATTCGTGCGATCCTCTTCAGGATGAAGCCGCTGTAGGGCTGTAGCTGTGCAGCATATGCAGCAATTTTTCATCGCTTGGAGTGAAGAAAGCTATTCTTTTTGGTACAACAACCACTAAATAAAAAAGAAAAAAAGTATGCTGGATTTATGTTTGGCAAAATCTTACGTCTTTGAGGTCTTTGAGGTATGCTTCGAACAAAATGAAAGTAAAAGACAACTAAGTTTGGGGGTTAAACATAGGTCCGGGACACATACACAAAAGCACACGTCATCTATCAGCACCTGTGCGAAAAAAGAAAAAGATCGGGCACAATGGGCAGCTTTGATGTCAAAGGGTGAGAAAATGCTGACCCCTTTGAACCGCTAACCTTTCATAGTGACTTCATGGTGTTTTCAGATGTTTTGAGTCTCTACCATGCCTCATGCATCAAATAAGTGCAAGTCACTTAATACAATAATTCAATATATATATACATGTATAACATATAATCAACAGCGGCCCTGCCACTGGGTATATAAACCATCTACAACTGGCTCATCGCTGTTCCCTTAAGGCCACCATTGCCGCCTTCTGCGCCTTTTCCCAGGCGCATCTGACGAAGGTGAGGGCCCTCTTCAACCAATTGGGAACTGATGAGAGGTCCGTGATCACCTACCGGCAGCGCCTTGGAACTGATGGTAACAAGGATGAAAAATCCCTATGTAAATAGGGGATGTTTAATGGAAAAAATCCACGGGTTGAAAACCACCGTGCTGGAAAATTGATTCATGGTAAAAACTATAGTTTCAGCCATCGATTTTTGCTCGAATCAATTAGATTGAATCAATCCATTGATTGTTGGCACAGCCGAGTCCTCACTGTGGTGGTTGGGAACCATCCCAAAATATCCCAAAATGAATTGTTCTTGCTAAGTTGACTAATTTTAAGCTGCGGATCAGGATAACTTGGGTTGCACCATCTTTCTCAAGTGGGGCACCGACTTCTGGTTTGGGTTGCTCAAAGTGCATGAAAGTGCTGGTTGGCCCAGTTATGGTTCATCTTCGCAGAATGGCAGGACCTGGTAGGTGATGGGGATAAACCGTGTCCAACCTCATGGAAAAAATAAAAAACTACATGCCTTTCTCCGACTGGTTACTCTCCCGAAAACCAACGTTGGGCAAACCTCAGGAATAGCATGCAGTTCCACGTTGGATTTCGGGGGTGTACTGAAAAAAGGAGATCTAATGACCAATGATGAGTGGATGATAGTGGATGATAGTGGATGATATCGTGATGGCCAATGGACCTTAGCGTTTGCTTGGCGAAACACAGAGTTTGACTCCCGTACTGGTTAAATCTTGGTGAGTGGCCGGTGAAGATTGAAGTTCGTAGTTCACATTCTATCCGTGCTTCTTTATATACTTAAAGATTAGTTATATAGACGTCTGTGTGTGTTTGCTATCAAAGGTTGTACAACTATGACTATGTTCAGCCGGGAGTGGGGGGATGTTTTTTCCCAGAACTCAAAGCTCAAATTGTTGCATTTGAACAGGCTTAAAGATGCCCCACCAGGCGGGCAAGGAAATGCTCCTGCTCTGATACCCGATGTGTATTCATGTGTATTCCACTTGGCATGTGGCTAGTGATGGTTGTAACCTTGTTACAACATTTGAAATGACACATAAAGGTATTATATTTGAACATGAATTCACACATGTACTGCATAGAATGACCTATATTAATGGATAGGTTTAACTATATGTTAGATATTGTATACATGTATATGTGCATGAGAATTGTAAGCTGTTGTAACCCACAACTTGCCCTCTGGTAATTACTGTAGTTACATGATGTTACATGGCTGGCTTGCAAATCCCCCATTTATAGATGATGTTCTCAAACCTTCATTTACTTTGGGGACTTTACCACCTACTTCCATGCTTGATTGCCTGAAATTCAATCGAATTTTTGGTCGTTTACACCCGGCCAGTTCTTCTCGAAGCCAAAGCCGGTTACCATTTTCCGAATGTCTTGAGGTTCGAGGAGAAGATCAACTCAGATGAAGTCAGAGAGTACTTCGAAACTCTTGGTCTGGATGTGACTCTGATGATTTCAGAGGGGATTTTGTTTTCAAGCTGCGTCCGTTCTGTTTAAACACGGCATGATATATGACTCTGCAATGGCGTCATGTATGCACATGGAAACAAGATTAAATATCTCTATTATAGTTTGCACACACACATAGACACATACACACAGACACAGACATACATACATACATACCATACCATACCATACCATAACATAACATAACATAACATACGTAACATACGTAACATACGTAACATACGCAACATACGTATACATACGTAACATACGTAACATACGTAACATACGTAACATACATACGTAACATACGTTACATACGTTATATACGTTACATACGTTACATACGTTACATACGTTGCATACTTTACATACGTTATATACGTTACATACGTTACATACGTTACATACGTTGCATACTTTACATACGTTACATACGTTACATACGTTACATACGTTACATACGTTACATACGTTACATACGTTACATACATTACATACACATACACATACACATACACATACACATACACATACACATACACATACACATACACATACACACACATACACATACACATACAATTGAGAAAATAGTATATATATATATGTATATATGTATGATAATCGTATATTATACCATGTATGCTCCTCAGGAGTGTCCTGAAACCTGCTGGTTGGTTGAAAAAAGAGGGTTCCCCCAGACCCAAGAATCAGTAGGGCAATGATTCGAACAGATGGGAAAAGATAGAGACATCTATTATAAATGGAGGTTTTAATTGGGAACTCATCTATAATCTATAATATTTGGATGAATTTGATCATGACCTCATGTCGTGACGTCACTGGAACGATGGGAATTACAAGGGAAATCAACCCCAAACGGGCCCAAATGGCTTTGTTTCGGCTGCTTTCAGCAATCAATTTAATTCAACCAGGTAAATTGTATACCAAACCGACCCCTCTATTTTTCCAGCAGGGCACGATTGATGCTCCTTGGGTTTGTTGGATT